CCAAGGGTGTCTCATCAAGTGTTTTTCATTTTTCTTTTCTTTTTTAAATTCCACAGCCCTCATCCGTGCTCTCATCTTCCTCCTGCTGCTCTCTGATGCAAGTGGTAATGAAGGGAATAGAAATAACTCATCCCCTCTCCATCAAATTGCTCCGACCCCCCTCTCCCTGAACACACACACAATCTCATGGAGCCACTTAAAGTGCCTTCAGTTCGCTTTCCTGTCCTACCTATTTCCTCTTTAGCCCTTTTGATGGGGGCTGTTGACGTGAAACCATTTTTTAAAGGACATCGAGGTTTGCAGGCACCAAAACGGAGACACTTGTGTTTCAAAAGAAGCATTTTGAAAGGAGGCGTTTTGTTTCTGAAATGGGATAAAAATTCAGCTCGATTGGTCGCACCTTTCCATAAAAAGACATTTTAAGAACCAAACAAATCCTGATTTTTTTTTTTTCTGGCAGAAATGTTATTAAAAAACAGAAATGTAATGTGTCGGCACGTGCCTTGATTTTAAGGTCTTTTTTGAATGTACGTGCCTTGGTTTGAAGGTTGCATTATTTTGGTGTTTGCAGTGAAAATCAGAGGAGGAACATGCGGAGCTGCGAGCAGTAAATTCTACATTAAGTAACATACTATTAAATGAAATACAACAATAATCACTCATTAATAATGTAGCTTGAATCTTTCATTTCATGGAAGTGCAACATTGATAATATGTCTTCTTTTTTCGGTAACAAAACATATGTGCACAAATTTAACTGACTTCACAGGATATGTCACAGATGACAAAAACAACTCAACTCAGCTGTATTTATAGAGCACTTTCAAACAGCCATCGCTGTATACAAAGTGCTATACATGGAGCAATTAAAATATACAACAAACAAAAACAAATAAAACCTTCGCTGCAGTGTAACTTCCTTTTCCTACAGGAATGTGCATCCTTGCTTATAGGAGGTGTTTGTTTGTTTGTTTTAATCATTGATATCAGAATTTTGGAGCCTGAGCAACATCTGTGTCGAGGCTGACGAATCATTTTAGTCATTGCTGCGGGTTGCAAAAAAGATGGATGGCTGTAGTTTGGACTTCAGAAACCCCTGATTTAAACCATTCAAACTTTTTGACCCTTCCCCTACAATAATCAGAATCGTTTGAAACCTAAATTGTTCAAACTCAAAGGAATCATTCATGCATGTGCCAACCAACGTTGTTCAAAAGACACTTTTGGTCAACAGCCAGGAGGACAGGGCGTAATTCTCATTGACTGACATTGCGAACCATTGGTCAGGCACGGACGCTGTAGCCTTTTAAGTCATTTCGACCAACGCCAACAAAGATGAATTTGACGATTTCACCCGTGGAATCTTTCATCGCAGCTTTCCTCCATTTGAGCATCCCAGTCATAAAACGGCATTTGTATTCCTCATCCAGCAGCGATGATAACACCTCCTCCTCCTCCTCCTCCTCTCCTTCTTCTCTCACTAACCAACCCTGTGTTTTATGCTATCGTTCTCCTTCACCACTTCTTTCTTAGCAATAGTTCCTTGTTGCCACAGGTGAAATGTGACACACTAAAGATGAGAGAAATGATTTTACATATATCCGCC